CTTTTTTGGCGTTTCTGTGTTTTTGAAATAATTTTGTTGATTTTTTTCAAAGTTCCTTTAAATTTTGAAAAAAAAATTTTTTTCAACAATTTCTACGACGAAAACGAAAGGGTGCCTTACTACTATAAGATACTAGGGGTCAAAAAATCATTTAGGTATATTTATTAGAGAAAGTATTTTTTGCTAGACATCCTCCTCTATGTGGTCAACTAAGTTTAAAAAAACTTTTTTTAATTGAGTGTAGGTTTATGGATTCGTTTCTGATATAAAGTCCTAATTTCTATTTTCTTATTAGAGGTTTGGAAAAAATCCGGACCTCTATTAGCTTCATTCTTTCAGTTTTGATATTGAATCCCGGATCAGGATATCTGGGAATCTCCAATGCCCCGCAACAACTTTATTTTTTTTCACCAAAAAACCGCCTAATTATTGGGGGATTTTTTGGTGCACATCCTCCCTAATTTTTTTAAAAATATTTTTATATACTCTTGAGTGTCACTCACATTCTTTTCCCCATACTTTTTTCTCAATTTTTTAAAATTTATTTTTTTAAAAGGCCCACCACATTTTTATTTATTTTCTTGAAGAATTAGCCCCTTTAAAATAAATTTATATATTCACTATTTCACAACAATAGAGTCCATTTTCTTTTTTTTGTTTGTTATTTCATTTTCAATCCTTTCTTTCCAATAGTGGAAGCATTTTCCCAAAAGGGAAGAGGGAAAAAAGGAGAAGCAAGACTTGTGATGTTTTTGATTATATGCTGCTTCCTTTTTAAATTTATTTTTTTTATCTTTCAATATTTTTTTAATACCCTAAAGATTTGGTGAAAATAAGTGAAAGAAAATGCTTGAATTAAATTTTTCTAATTTTTAGGCCCAAACTTTTTTTAAATTTTTAGGCTTTTTTTGAACTAATAATTTCTTATTCCGTACCAGGAACAAGAAATGCTTCCGATTTCCAAAAAATTTTATGCTGATTTTTAATTTCCAAATTTTATTTCCGATTTCCGACAGTTCCGATTTCTGATTTCCAATTTCCAAATTTTATTTCCGATTTCCGCCAGTTCCGATTTCTGATTTCCAATTTCCGACTTTTGAACCATTTCTAATTTCCGACAGTTCCGATTTCCATCATCTCCTTCATTATTTCCGACACCTCCTCCTTCACACACCTCCTTCCTACCCCTTTTCCATTTAGGGTTTCAAAATTTTATTTTTGGTGTTTTGTCGATTCTATTTCTTTGATCTTGTTAATTTTGGAATTTTTTGAAAAAAAAATTTTTTTAGTTGTGTTTATTTTTGTGACCATGAATTGACTCTTTTAATCATTTCTTTACCTCTATTTTTTCAATTTTAATCACATCATTTTTCCTTATCTCTTTTTTAAATTTTAAACCTTTTCATTTTTTCTTCCTCAAATTTATATTATTCATTCCTCTTTATTATTCTACTCATTTTTTTGGTTATTGTTGGCGGCGAGAAAGGTGAGGGAGAGGGAAAGGAGACGTTCCTTGGTCGACGATTTTTCGCTCTCGATTTCATTTTTAATTTTTCATATTTAATTTTTTTTATCCTCTTTTTTATCTTTTATTTTCCTTCCATTTTTAGTTTGGGGGTTTCTTCCTTTTTTTAATTTTTTCTTTTTTTCACACATTTTTATTTATCTATTTCTTCAAAAAAATATCAATTTTTTCTATTTTTATTAAATTTTGAGGGAAAATCTATTTATTTTTTCTTTTAAAAATTTTTTTTGAAATCGGTTCGGTAATACCGCGGTGTACTACCGATAATACCCACTCGGTATTTTCAGTACCACGGTTCTCTCAAAAATACCGAGTCGATATTTTTCGATTCTCACTGTCTTGGTACTCCTAAAAAATATAAATTTGCTTATGTTAACATTAATTAAGATTTATTTGTAAGGAAAAATTTCATAAAATTTTTTTTATTAATTTTAGAAGCTTTTCTTTTAAACATTTTTTTTCTCATAATTTTGTTTTAATATAAACAAAAAAAAACTTTTTTTTTCCTAAAATTTTGATCTTCTCTTGATTTTTTTTACTTTTTTCTTCAGGGATTACTTAATTCTCCCAAAATTTTTGTGTTTAAAATGGTTACACCTCTCCAAACCACCTCTCTAATCTTTCTTGATAAATAATTTTGTACTATTTTTGGAATTTTTTCTGTTTTATTTAAACAGATAAAAATTTTAAGAAAATTTTTATAAACACAAAAATGTGAATTTTTAAACATTCTTTTAAAAATTTTTACTAAGAAAACGCGGATTATATGTTTATTTATTTTTAGAAGGGGATTTAAAAATTCTTCTTCTTTAAAAAATCCCCTTTAAAAGAAGGGGGATTTTAAGCATTTTTTGACATTCATACACTAGGCTTTCCCTATACATAAATATTTTTTTAAAATGTCTCTTATATAAATATTTAAATATTTATTTACTAATAAATAAATTAACACACAAACACAAAACTAGTAAAATTAAAAAAAAAGGGGGGGGGGGGAGAAAAAGCATCAATTTTTTATCTATTCATTTTTAATTTTTATATATCGATTCTATGTCCAAAGGTTACTTTATTTGAGACAGAAAAAAATTTTTTTTAATTGGAAAAGCCGAATATTTTTAACCATTTTCGGGCCTCGTTTGTATTTATATTTTGTGGAGTTAAAAAATGACCGAAAAATATCATTACTCAATGCCGAACTCTCGGTAGAATATGGTGAGGAAAAAGCTTTTAGCCAGCTCTCCCTCTCTACCTAGTTTATGTTAAATTTAATGTTAAACATTCTTAACCCATCTAAATCTCTCTTAATCTTCACAAATTCCCCGATCTCCCTAAAAATCCTCCCAAATTCCCAGATATCCCCTCTTAATCCCATCAAAACGTCTATAAAGTGAGGTCCAAATTATTTTCCATTTTCTAATTTTTTTTCTTAAAAATTTATTTTTATATATTTTTTATTTTTCCGCATTCCTCTATTGTGGGGAATGCGCGAGTGATGTAATTTTTTGATATTATCAATTTTTATTTAAAGGAAAATTTTTTTAAATTTATTTCATAAAACTATGGGGAGATATTCTGAATTTTTTTGAATATTTATCAATTGGGAGAAGGGTTAGCTTTAGAAAAATTTTTTTAGAAATTTTTTTGGACATTTTTTGGACATTTAGTCCCATATTTAATAAAAAATTTTTTTTTATTTTTCTAGAAAAGTTTGTGTTCATTGCAAGTGTGATAGAAGTGATCACGAAATTGGTGGAAATCAAGCCTTAAACGTTTATGAACGTTTAGGAATTAAGCCTTCATCTGCTGAAATGGCTAAAGTTTTACAGCAACAACAACAGCAACAACGTAAAAATAATAATGAAAATAATTCTAATGATGTAAATTCTTCTTCAATCGGATCAACAGGACATGGATATGCTTGGGTACCTCCAGGCATTGGACGTCTTAAAGTATGGGAAAAATATTAGATTTTTTGAAAAAAAATTTTTTAACTTGAAAATGAGTCAGGCTTTTACTGCGAAAAAATTAAAAAAAAATTTTTATTTGAAGTGTCTTTTTGGGTTTGACATCTGAGTAGGGTTGGAGGAACCTTGAAGTATTTTTCTAAATTTTAAATTTTTTCTTTCAAATATTTTCTAACGATGTATTAGGGATTGTGTTGTCGATTCTTGGAACCAAGCCAACGAATCGAGGATTTTTTTTTGGTTGAGTTTCGGATTCCCAAAGATATTTTATACGAACAGACAACCTTAATTAAATATATTTAAATGAATAAGTAGGGGGGAGGGGTTGAATTTTTATATATTTTTGAAAATTTTTTGAAAAAAAAAATTGGAGAATGGTAGAATTACAGGAAGTGGTGTGTAGAATTTTTTGATTAATTTAATTTTTTAATTCGAAAAAAAATTTTTTCTTCAATTTTTTTTTCTTCATCACTAGGTAGAAGAATACATGTCTCAATTACCCAACCATATAATTCCAAGATTAAACAGTATTGGAGAAAAAAATCGTGAAAGGCAATTAATGATACAATTACCTCGCCAAGACTTATCTATAGCTTATTGTAAACATTTACGTACTCCACAAGAAAGACGTTTATATGAAGAATTTGTTAATGCTAGAAATGAAGTTGCTTTAGATATTGGGCATGTTAATGCTAATATTAGTAAAGCTATGGTAAGGAGAGGATTTTTTTTTGAATTATATATGGGGAAAAAAAATTTTTTTTTAAAATTTTTTAGAAGGAGGAAGAGGAGGGGAGATTTTTAAAATTAATTTTTGAAATAAGAAATTTTTTTATTGTTTAATTTTTTTGGAAGAAGGGGGACGAGGGGAGATTTTTTGAATTTAATTTTTTTTTGATTTTTTGAAATTAAAAAAATTTTTTTTTGATTTTTTATTTGAGGGAAGGAAGGGGTGGATTAGAATGTTTAATTAAATTAATTTTTTTTTAATTTTTGGAGGGTCTTTAGTTTTTATTTTTTTTTTTGAAAGACGGGGATGGTGGGATTTTTTTTGTTAAAAAATTTTTTTGGAGAGTCTAGATTTTTAAATTTTATTTTTTAGATAGAAATTTCTGTAAGTATTGAGTAAATGATTAACTAAAAAAATTATTTAAAAATTTATAAATTTTTTATCTTAAAAGGAATGTCGTAAATGTAGAGGTGTTGTAGAACGTAATGAAATGGCTGTTATAGCACCAAAATTGGGTGAAAATACTGGTTGGCATGCTGCTTGTTTTGTTTGCCAAACTTGTGAACAGGTATAGATTAAAAAAAAAATTTTTTTGAAATTTTTTAAAAATTAAAAATTTTAAATTTAAAATTTTTAAAAATTTTTTAATTTGAAAATAAAAAAAATTTTTTTTTAAGTTGCTTGTTGATCTCACATATTGTGTTCGTGATGAAAAAGTTTATTGTGAACGCCATTTTGCTGAATTACACAAACCTAGATGTTCTGCTTGTGATGAGGTAGGGGGTGAAAAAAATATTTTTAAATAATTTTTTAAAATAAAAAAAATGTCTGGGATAAAAAAATAAGAAAAAAAGTACTTTATGGGGGAGAGTCTAGAAACTTTAAAATATACTAAAGGGAAACAACTGTTTTTATTTTTCAAAAAATTTTTTGTTTATAATTTATCCTTATTTCTCTCAACACTTTTTAAGACTGACAAGTTTTAGCGTTAAAAACAATATATATTATTTTCATTATTATATTTTTCTGGTTAACAATAATATATATTATTTTTATTATATTTTTTCTGGTTAACTTACTCTTTGTTTTTCGTCAAAAACAACATGTTTTTGACTTTTAATATTTAAAACTTCTGATTTTTATTTGTTTGAAGTTTGTTGTTTTCTTAAAATTCTGATTTTTTATTTGAACTTTTAATTGTTTTTCATTATGTTTCTATTTTATTCTGATTTCTTTTTTTTGTTTTGTTTCTATTCTATTGTTTGTTTTTATTTTATTCTGGTTTTGTTTGTTTCTTTATTTGTTTGTTTTATTTCTTTTCTGATTTTTCTATTCTATTGTTTATTTCTACCTTATTCTGGTTTTCTTCTTGTTTTATTGCTATTCTGATTTTTTTAATATTTGTTCTTTTATTGTTCTGATTTCCATTCAATGTTTTGTTTTTATCTTATTCTGGTTTACAGGTTTACTTTATTTTACAGAATTTTCTTTCTCTCTCTTTCATTAATTACAACTCATCCAATAAAACACCTTAAGCTACTAACCGATTACAAGTATATATTTTTTGACCAAAACACTTACTTAAAAATCTTTTTTATCTTGTTTTTATTAATCAAAAACCTTGTCTCTTTTTTCATTGTTTTCTTCATTCAAAAGATTAGGTTTGAGTTAAATATTAGTAGAACAACTGACTGACTGCCGGGGGGGGGGGAGACTGGGACGGGAAGAATGAATGAATGAAAAAGCGCTTAAAAACAGCTTCTTGTTGGTGTTGTTGTTAGCCAATCTTCGACTAGAAAAAAACAAGGAAAAATAAGGAAAAGAATCAATTCCCCAATTGCTTTATGAGTCTTCCTGTTATTTTTAAAGGGATATAAAATGAAAGGAAAAAAGTTTTTTTTCTCCCTTAGGGCCCAATTTTTGACTAGGACAGAAAAAAAAAATTTTTTTTGTCTTTTTTCCGTTTCTAACAAATAAAACAATTTATATTTTTTTGTGGGGCCAAACCAATTTTGACTTGGAAAAAAAATTGGAGGGAAAAGGAGGAGGGAAGCTTTCACTTTTGGCCAGTCTAGGGGGAAGAGAGAGAGCAAGCAATTGTGTTTGGAGTTTTTAAAGCTGAGAACAACAACAGAAGCAAGGAAAAAAAATGAAAAAAAGCTGGAAGAACGCCTTTCCTCTCTAACTTTTTTTTTTTGACTTCTTTTAACTTTTTGACTTTAGCTTCAAAAAAATAATGGAAGGATAATCTATCTACGTATTTTAACTATACATCATTATTTTTATTTATATATGTTCAACCCATTTCCTTCCCTCCTATCTTCCTTATTTTTTTAAAATAATGCTTGGAAGCTAGAGGATAGATGGAAGGAAGGCTTGAAACTAAGTAGATGGATGAGGGAAGGGAGTGCTTTATCCCTTAAACTTTTTTGAGGATAAAATAAAATTTCGGAAGCCACCAATTTTTTAAAAATGGCTGATGATTTTTCCATTTCTAAATTTGGCTTATTTATATTTTTTTCTATTTTTTTCTACTTTTTTTGTGAACAAGAAAATCTCTAAAATATTTCTAAAATTAATTTATTAGCTCAGATCTCTAAAAATATTCTTTTCTTATTTTTATATACTGTATTTGGAACATAATTGGTCACAAAAAAATATTTTTTTTAATTTATTAAAAAATGACTTTTGACTTTTTTCTTTTGTTTCAAGCATAATGAGACATTATATAAGTAATTATCTTTTTTAAAATTAACTTTTAAGCCACGTTTTTCTATTTTTGGTGGTCCTTTTTAAAGATACCAAAAGAAACTTTTTTGCTTTCATTAATAACTCGTGAAAAAAATTTTTTTATTAGAAAAAAAATATTTTTTGGTTTTTATAAACTGTCCAAATAAAAATTTAATTTTTCCCAATTTTAATTTTTAAAAATCATTTTTATGGAATATTTAGAGAGTAAAGGTTAATAAAAAAGATTGACTCAATTTCTAGTCAATTTATAACCAGCCAAAACTAAACATACATACACACATGCTCTCCTCACATTCATTTTCTCTTTTTTTTTCCTCAATTTTAAAAAATTTTAAACAATTTTATTTCATTTTTACTTTAAATTGCCAACCAGCCAATCGATTGATTATTTTATAAATTTTATTTTCATTCTGTTAAAGCCCAAGAAGCTTTTTGAGGAAGCGAGAAAAAGCTGTTGGATATTTCCCTTTGAATGGATTTTTAAAGAGAAACAAAAGCTTTGTTCTCTTTTCTTGATTAGCTAAAAGCATTTATTATTCTGTTTTATACTACTAAGTTTTGTGTCATTACAACATTAATCTTTAGTGAATTTTCTTATGTGAAGTAGAATTGAGATATAGCATCTGAAAACAAAATCAGAATTATCTTAAAACATCTAAAAACATAATCAGAATTATCTTAAAACATCTAAAAACATAATCAGAATTCTTTAAAAACATCGTTAAAAAATAATCAGAATTATTAACGAAACATCTAAAAAGAAAATCAGAATTATTAACGAAACATCGTTAAAACAAAATCAGAATTGTTTAAAAACATTTAAAAACATAATCAGAATTATTTAATTAAAAGCAAATTCTATTAAAAACATAATCAGAATTTTCTTAAAACATCTAAAAACATACTATCTAATAATTCCGATTTTTCACTGTTCTTTAAAAACATCCATATGTTTTCTCTAAATTCTGATCATTCTCTTTAATTTTTTTATTTCTTTTTAAAGTTTTTAAAAGTGATGAGAGAACATTTAAAAAATTTAAGTTTTTTTGATCATTTAAAGTCCTTGAAAAATAAAATAAAATTTGCTCAAAACACATTTTTAAAATTGTGTTTATTTTGAAAATTTTTTTTAATTTTCCAGCTAATATTTTGTGGAGAATATACTAAAGCAATGAATAAAGACTGGCATAGCGATCATTTTTGTTGTTGGCAATGTGATGGACAGTTAACTGGTCAACGTTATATTTTGCGAGATGAACATCCTTATTGCATTAAATGTTACGAGGAAATATTTTCTAATGTTTGTGATGAATGTCAAAAACATATAGGAATTGATTCAAAGGTAAAAGGATTATAGAAATATTTTAAAATACTAAGAAACATGTAAAAAATCAGAATTATTTTTAAACATGACAAACAAATAAACTACAAATCAGAATTAAATTTGAACATTAAATAAACATAAAACCAGAATTATATTAAAACATTAGACAACAAAACAATAAATTTAAAAACCAGAATTAAATTAAAACATTAGATAAAACATTAAAACACAAAAACCAGAATTTTATTAAAACATTCAAAATATTAAAACAACAAAACAATAATTTAAAAACCAGAATTAAATTTGAACATTAACAAACATAAAAACAAAACCAGAATTAAATTAAAACATAAAAACATTAAACAACAAAACAATAAATTTAAAAATCAGAATTAAATTAAAACATTTAAAATGTTACAACAATGTTTTTAAGGACCTTTCGTATAAAGACAAGCATTGGCATGAAGAATGTTTTCTTTGTTCAATGTGTAAAATTTCACTTGTGGATAAGCCTTTTGGAAGCAAAAATGAAAGAATTTATTGTTCTAATTGTTATGATCAAGCATTCGCTACTCGTTGTGATGGTTGTGGAGAAATATTTAAAGCTGGTAAGGGGAGAGGGGGGATTTTTTGGGAGAGGGAAGAGGGGGAGGAATTTTTTGGGAGAGGGTAGAGAGGGGGGATTTTTTAATAAAAAATTTAAAAAAATTTAGGCATGAAGAAAATGGAATATAGAGGGAAACAATGGCATGATAAATGTTTTGTATGTGCTCTATGTAAAGCTCCAATAGGAACCCGGAGTTTTATTCCAAAGAATGAAGAAGTTTTTTGTGCAGCTTGTTATGAAGAAAAATTTGCTACGAGATGTTGTAAATGTAAAAAGGTAGGGGGATTTTTAATTTTTAATAAAGAAAATTTTTATAAAGGTTATTAGCACTGGTGGTGTTACCTACAAAAATGAGCCTTGGCATAGGTAAAGAAATATATAAACTTTGTTTGTTTTTAAACTATCAGAAGAACAAAGTCAGAAAAACATTAGAAAATATTAATTACAAAAATACTGATAAATCAGAAAAACATCTAAACATTCAGAAAAACATTCTAGAAAATCAGAAAAACAAATTTTTCATAAAAACAATTTTGAAAACAACTTAAAAAATAATCAGAAAAACAAACATCCAAACATCTCAGAAAAACGTCTTAAAAATCAGAAAAACATTTTAAATAATCAGAAAAACAAACATTAAAACAAATTTCGGAAAAACATCTAAACAAATCAGAAAAACATTTAAATAAAATCAGAAAAACATTTAAATAAAATCAGAAAAACATCTAAACATTTCAGAAAAACATTTAAAAAAAATCAGAATAACATTTAAATAAAATCAGAAAAACATTTAGAAAATCAGAAAAACATTTTAAAAAAATCAGAAGAACATTTCAAAACATCAACTATTTAAAAAAATTATTTAGGGAATGTTTTTGTTGCACAAATTGCAATACTTCACTAGCTGGGCAACGATTCACCTCGAAAGATGAAAAGCCTTATTGTGCAGATTGTTATGGAGAATTATTTGCAAAGAGATGTTCTGCTTGTGTTAAACCAATTACTGGTAAAATTTAAAAAAAATTTTGATTAAAAAAATTATTTAAAGGTATTGGAGGTGCTAAATTTATTTCATTTGAAGATAGGCATTGGCATAATGATTGTTTTGTAAGTTTTTTAATTAAAAAAATTTTTTATCTCTGAAAAATTTCAAAAAAAAATTTTTTTATCTCTGAAAAATCAAAAAAAAATTTTTTTCTAAATTTTAAAAATTTCAAAAATTAAAAAAAAATTTTTTGTTTTAAAAAAATGAAAAATTTTTTCTAAAAATTTTTATATTAAAATTTAAAATAAAATTTTCTGTTAAGTTTTCAAAAAAATTATTTTTTAAAGGTGTGTAATCAATGCAGTATTAGTTTGGTTGGGAAAGGTTTTATAACAGATGGGGCAGACATTTTATGTGCAGATTGTGCCAAAGCAAGGCTTATGGCAGCAAATAGCTAATATAAATAAATAAATTTTGAATTAATCATTCCTTTCATTTTTTTAATATTTCTGAACCTTGGTTTATTTTCAAAAAAATTTTTTAAAGAAATTTTTCAAATTGCTTAAAATGCCCTAAAATTCACTGAAAGTCCCCTTTAAAAGATTTAACCAAGGTTTTGACAATTTTAATAATTTTTTTTCAATTGCTTTTTTATTTTTAGGGTTAATTAATCCTAAAATATTTTTCTTTTAATAGATTTTCATTTCTCTCTCGCAAAATTTTTTTTTCAAAAAATTTTCTTAAAATAGTCTTCCTCCCCTTTCTTTAGTTTTACAATATTTTCTCTATAACGACGCCCTTCTTAAGCCACTTTATTAACGTTAATTTGATTAGTCTCGAAGGGTGCTTTTTGTCTCTATGGGTGTCGTTCAGGGGTGTGCCGAAACGGATTTTAAAAAGCGAAACGCGAAACGCGAAAGGCGAAATTAAATTTAAAAAGTGAAACGCGAAATGCGAAACGCGAAAGTAAATTTAAAAAAGCGACACGCGAAACGCGAAAGTCCAAAAAACGCGAAAATCCGCGAAAGGCGAAACGCGAAACGCGAAATTCTTAAATTTTTTCCTATATGATAAGAAATCTCTAGAGATTTGTCAATCCAGTGATTTGTTGCGAATCACAGCCTCAACTGACTCTTACAATCCCCATTAGGATTTCGATGCGCATCCGGTATATCAAGGAATTTGAGAGAATATCAGACATAAGCAAGGTTCCGTCCTTTATTTTATATTCTATATTTTAGGATATACTAAGGTCTTTACCTCGCTTCCAAAACATTTCCGTAGAAGTGGTAATTTGATGGATTTTCGTTTTGGGATTTGGGTGGATTAAGAGGGACACCGGAGTATTTGGGTAAATTCCGGAGAATATGGAGGATTTGAGTGATGGTGGATTCGTAGCATATCGAGGATCTGCGGAATAGAGGGAGATAAACCTATGGCAAGGTTCTTCCTTTTTCAGCGCCGCAGGCGAAAATTTAGAGAATTTTTTAAGGCCAAGGAGCCAGACTTCTTCCTTTTTCAGAGAATTTTGGAAGATCCTTATGCTAAACATCTTCCTTTTTCAGCGCTGCAGGCGAGAATTTTGAAAATTTTGGTAGATCCTTAAGCCAAAAATCTTTTCTTAAACGCCGCAAACGAAAATTAAGGGAATCTTGTAAGACCAAGAAGCCAGATTTCTTCCTTTTCAGCGCCGCAGGCAAAAATTTTGAGAATTTTGGAGGTTTTCAATTTATTCGGGCCTTATTTTTTTCTCCAACTTAACCATCTTTAGGGGTGTATAAAACTTTCGCGTTTCGCGCAAAAAGCGAAACGCGAAACGCGAAATGCGAAAGTAAATTTGAAAAAGCGACACGCGAAACGCGAAAGTCCAAAAAACGCGAAAATCCGCGAAAGGCGAAACGCGAAACGCGAAACTGGCACACCCCTGGTGTCGTTATAGAGTTTCCAATGTATTCATTATTTTCTTTAAAAATTCAAGAAGAGCAATAATCTTCTAGAATTTTATATATTTAAGCATTTTTCTTGTCATAATAAGAGAGCTGGGTCAAAATTTAAGAAAAAAAGATAATAAAATTAGAAATTAACGACACAGCTCTCTGGGTTACAAAAAATAGACGGAAAGAGCTGTTTTTTCAATTAAGAGCATTTTTAAAATATTTTTTTTTGAGAGATTGGACTATCAAATAAATACCGTAAATGTTCTAATAGGAGCCTGGGTTTCCTTTCTTTTTTTATTTTCAATAGTCTCTTGGGCTTCTAGCAGGACATGGGATTCTATTGAAACATTTTACGGTAAATTTGGTTCAATCTCTAAATTTTTAATTTTGTTTGTTTGCCGGTCCACACTTCATTTTTCTTCTCTCCACCCTTTTTTAAATTGCATTTAAATAATTTCATAATAATATTTTTAATATTAAGTGTCGCTTTGTTTTGCGCCCAAAAAATATTTTTTCTTATATTGAATAAATAATTTGATTTATTTTTGTATTTGTGAGGAACGCTAGAACGTAAAAAATTATCTGAAAAAGTTAAAAAACTCTTTTGGGTTTGTAAAAAAATTTTTTAAGAAAAATTGTTAGCCTTGCAAATAATCGGGATTTTTAATTAGAAATTAGTTAAGTATTAGGGTAATAAAATCGATGTTTTGGCGTGGTGGTTGTGTGTCTGGTTTTCTACGGGTTTTAGGGAGGTTCGAGTCCGCTCGGCGCCCAAAATAATTTTTTAAATATAAAAATATAATTATAAACATTTTAATTAAATTCAACGTATTTTAACTAAAAAAATTTAATTTTTAAATTTAAAATACCCGAAATTCAAAAAATTCTTTACTATTAAAAATAGAAAATAATTATTTAAAAAAATTATTGCAGCAAAAAGGAAAAACCGAATCTTTTTAAGCATACATACTCTGAGCTAAATCAGACATTTTAGGAGAACAAAGGCATACAAAATGTTGAAAATAATCAGATAATTCAGTTAAACCCAAATCCGTTGGTTTTTCCTCAGTTTCTTGAAGATGATTGTCAATTTCGACTCCAACAGGTACCGAGGAAGTTGAAGAAGAAGAAGAAAAATTTTCTTCTTTCAAATTTTCTTCTTCTTTTGATTTACGCCAAATTAAGCTTCTTTTTTTATTGTGTTGTAACCAACAAGGTAAAGCTTGTTGTTTTTTTGTAATATTAAAAATATTTTTTTGTAAAGATCTTCCATAAAAATCACATCCTTTTAATTGAATATTTACAAGTAAATCTTGATCAAAATTGTCTGGAAAAAATTTATTTTGAATTTTTTAAAAATTTAAAATAAATTTTGAATGAAATATGTGAAAGAAAAAGTCATTTAAAGGTAGTTTCCACCAAGTGGATTCGAACCCTCGACACCTCTCAGTGACAAACCAAAACTTTTCCGACTACACCAAAAAGCCAAGTTGGGCTATTTTAAAGGGAGAAAGTAGGGTTGGCTTGTGAGTTTATAAAATTAACAAATGAGAACATAGAAATGTGAAATTTAGTAAAGATATCCTCAATAGTGTTATTTAACTACTCTAAAAGTTTCAGAATTTTTGGTTAAGTTTGGAAAAAGTTGTTTAAAGAAAACTAAGAAATTAATAGGAAAAGCGTCAATTTAATGCTTATTTCCGAGCATAACATGGGAAATATGGAACCGTAAATTCTGAAAATTTAACCAAAAGAAGTCAACACTATAAGGGATCTAAACACTAAATTTGATGATTATAGATTGTCAATGGTAAAAGTTATAAGCACATGCCCAGATGTTTTCCCACTACTTATTTTGATTGATTTTTAGAATTAAATTTAAAAATAGAAACCTTTATTAGACTGTTTAATAACAAGAGAGCATAAATATTTTCGGATAGCTTCAATATTGCTTTTGGGAATTTGATAAGGAGAAAAACGGCATTTGTTGTAATTGTAGTAATGGCTGAAAAATTTAGGTGAGATTTATAATTTAAAAGAAATTTGCGGATTATGTCTTAATTAAAGATAAATAAGTTTTCTAGGAAGTCTAAAATCCTAGAAGAAAAAGTCTACTAGAATGTCTAAAATAAATTCTTTTAAAAAACCCTTACAATCCAGTTCGTCTCATTGTTTTACAAGTTGCTTGTATTTTACAATCCCCTTCAATATTTAATTTTGTAAATTCATTCAATGCAGTTTCCAAACTTGCAATTGGAGAACACGAAGCAGCTAAATGTTGTTGTTTGTCTTGTTTGATAAGAATAATATTTTTATTAGTAGTTACCATTAAATTTGAAAAATCAAATAGAAATGATGAATTGTGTCTAGAATAACAAAAGAAAACTTTGGAAGTTAATTTAAAAAGAAAAAGAAAACAAAAAATGATAATAAAATGTATGATAAACAAGTCAATAAGGTGTTACGTAATCAAACGTTTAATTCCCTTAGTTCGACGAAATGTCAAAATTTGACTAGTTGGGCATTTTGTCGTGTTGATATTTTAAAGATTTTAGATTTTCTTCGATGAAACGAGAGACTGTATAAATTTAAGAGAGAGCAGGCATAGAAGTGAGACAAAATGTCAAAAATAGGCCTAGTTGACGTTTTGACATTTTGATATTTTGTATTTCCTCTATAAACGAGAGAGTGTATAAATTTAAGAGACAAGAAAACATAGATGTGACGAAATGTCAATTTTAGCCTTATTTGACATTTTGTCTTATCGATATTTTATATTTCTTCTCATAAACGAGAGATTGTGTAAATTTAAGAGACGGCAGACGTCAGACATTTATTAGAAGAACATTTTGCCAAAAATTAAGAGAATTTAAATATTTATTTTTATTAATTTTTCCTAAATTTATCAGTTTAACGTTTTTAACTTTTTATCACTTTTTTTTATCTTCTACTAACCCAATTAACCTAAATTTTATTTATTACCAACCGCAATCTTTCCTTTCTTTTTCATATAATGTTTTGTTTTTTCTGTTGTTTTTCCCTTCATTTTCTCCCCCCAAAAAGTTGTGTTAGTCGATGACTAATTATTACAAATCTTTTTTTTTACATTTTTATATACAACAAATTTTTGTTCTTTTTTTCGCATATTTTTCTACGTAGAATTTAATTGCGCTCTTCCAATTTAAAAAAAAAGAAAGAAAATTTTTCTTTTGGAATTTTGGTAAATTTATTGATTTTCCAATTTTGGTTTAATTAAATTAATTGATTTTGAACTAATTTCTATGATAGATAGCTTTTGGGGTGGAAAAATTCTTTTTAACATTAGGTCTTCACTAATTTAATTCATTTATTTAATTGCGGATATATTTAAGTCCGCAAATATTTGTCTGCAAATATTGTCCATATATAAATTTTGTCCGTAAATATTTGTCCGCAAATATTTTCTGTCCGCAAATGTTTTTCGCAATTTCGCAAATATTTGTCAGCAAGTTCTGTCCGCAAATATTGTCCGTAAATGGTTTCCGCAAAATTTTGTTCGTAAAAATCTATCCGCAAATTTTTTACGTCCTCAAATATTTTCTGTCCGCAAATGTTTTCTGTATTTTTCTTGTTAATTTTTTTTATTAATTTTTCAATTTAATTACAGGAAATTTAAACAATTAAAGGACACCACAATCTCTTCAAAAAAAATAAATGTCAACAGAAAATAATGTATCAGAATCTACACCTATAACACAAAATAACTTAAATGAGCAGCAAAATCCGTCAATAACAATACGTGATTTTGATGGGAAATTGCACAGAATATTTTTGGAATTAAATTCTTTGACGATACAACTTTTGAAGTTTGTTTTTTGATTTTTTTAACTTTTCTAAGTCTGGGGATTATATTTTTGGTGTTTTAGAATGGTATAATCACGAGTATGAGTCATTAATTTCAGATCGATTTGTTCGGATTATTGTTAGGTTAGGATACTTGTTGGCATCTATCCTACAATTCCCCTTTTTTCTTTCTTCTTAGGTGTACAAATGACGAGCCTATCTGAAAGAGCTTGTCAGTAGCTCGTTAATGAGCTGCCAATAAGCTGGATAATAGATGAATGTTAACGCATCAACTGGCTCGTCGAGAGGAGTTGATTGAGACCTAAACTCTGACTGAACCGATAATTCTAAATAAGATTATGACAAAAGATGCTACAAAGATCCATATAACTCCCTAGCACCCAAAGCTTAATAGTCTTTTATTTAGATATAAATTCTAAAAATATTTTTAAAAATTTTCAGTAAAAAATCTCAACAAACGCGTTACACTGCCACAATTCCTTTAGAATCAGTACTCTGTATACGTTCAAACCGTATTCGTCTACGTTGTGGAATGCCTAAAAAATTGCCAGAAATAGGGGCAGATCAACCCGATCTAGTCAATACTTGTTGGAACAAAACTTCCTTTCGTCACAACGTTTTATACATTTATTATGCCTTTCGTTGGAATGTTTTTACGTGGAGATTGAAGGAAGCTGCCCTATTTTTTGAGTCTGTAAATGATAAAAAAGAATGGGAAAAGTTGTTGAATGATGCGAGAAATGGTTTTTATTTTTATTTAAAAATTTTAGAATTTTTTAAAAATTATTTTTTTAAGCCTTGTATAGACCTAAACATTTGTTGGTCTTTATTAATCCGTTTGGTGGAAAAGGAAAGGCTAATGGAATATGGACGGATGAGGTTAGATTTTTTAAAAGTAGTTTAGACGAAAATTTAAGGCCGTTATTTGAATGGATGTTGTACTTGGTTAGTGGTCAATAGAGATTGGGAATTTTTAAAACCCTGGGCCTGTTCCTGGGTTTCGGGTTTGATTTATTGACCTGGGCCGGATCCTGGGCCTGTAGTCCAGGGAAAACCCAGGCCCAGGAAAAACTCAGAAAGGTCAAAAAATGCCTGGACTCTGGGTACAGGAAAAACCCAAGCCTTGGTACAGACCCCGATCGATCTCTAGTGGTCAGTTCGGATGACCGAAAGTTGAAGGTTCGAGCCCTACTTGGCGGAGAAATTTTTATAACTAATTTGAGGCCTCAGATTTTCGAAAAAAAATTTTTTTCTTCGTCTAAAGAAATAAAAAAATTTTTCTTAAAGGTAGAACCATTTTTCAAACTTGCAAATATTACTTATGAATTGATCAAAACTGAAAGAGCAGATCACGCATTAGAAACTGTTAGAGAACTAGATCCTGTCAAATGGGAACTTTTGGATGGAATAGTTTCTGTTGGTGGTGATGGCCTTTTTAATGAAGTTCTTTCTTCTGCTATTATTAGGTTTTTTATTTTAAATTCTTGGGTGAAAATTCGATCCTGTTGGAACCTTAAGTTTATATTTGGCTGATTGTGAGTCAGAAAGTTTTGGTTTCCTTAGCTTACGCTAGGTGGCTGATGCTATTCACTAGATAGCGTCATTCCAGTCCCAAAATAAAATTATTTTTTGGACTAGGACTGTCTGATGGCCAATAATCTATCCATATTTTCTGCGTAGTTTGATTCCTATTCCATTATTTCGAGGAGTTTTTTTCTTGGAAAGTTCATTCCCGCTACTAGATTTTCTAAAAGAGAAGTTTAACTATCGGGAATTTCAGGGTTGAACTTACTTCAGAATATTATTTTAATTTTTAAGAACGCAATTACAAGCCGGCAAAAATTACAACAATGAACAAATTGATATGTTAACTACTCCAAGAGTACGTTTTGGAATTATCGGGGCAGGTTCTGCAAATTCAATAGTGTCGTCTGTTCATGGAATTAATGATTGCCCTACAGCAGCTATACATATTGCTATTGGTTTTTTTTTTTGAAAAAATTTTTTGATTAAATTTTGAGGGTTTTTAAAGGGAGTAGATGTAATATTGATGTTTGTGCTGTATATGAAGATGGAAATTTGTTGCGATTTTCTGCTGATGCAATCTCTTATGGATGGTATTTTGATTATTTTTATTTTTGGGATATTTTGTCCTATTTATTTTTGTACTTGACGAATTCTAACAAATTTTTTTTATTCGTCGCATCCTTTCATGTTTACACAATTGGCAAGATAACACAAGTTTAAAAGTGAATAGAGTACCCAAATCCTTATGCTCACATCAGACGGATATCCAAAAAATTTTTTGATTGATGTCAGTAATGGGCAGAAAAAAGATATCTAGAAATTTTAATGGGGGTTAAAAAGTAAATGGGCCAGGTTTAAAAAAACGTGCCGTGTTTCGAATAGTAAAAGTTAGTTGTTCGGTTAACCCGAGTCCCTGGTTTATATCTGGTTCAGTTTCCAAAAAATCTAAAGAGTTCCTCTTGGAAGAGTTCTTTCTAGTTCAAAATTGACGATTAAATTTTTGTTCAGGTTAGGAGATGTTCTTCACGATTCTGAACGTTATCGCTGTCTTGGACCTATTAGATACCAATATTCTGCTCTACGTACATCAATTCGTCATCCAACATATTTTGGCCGTGTTTCCTTTGCTTTAAGTCAAGAACATGTTCCAAATGCTTTAGATGATGATGATACAGGCTCTGGACCTTCAAATCCATTAAAAATACCTGTTTGTACAGATGATTGTGATTTGTGTTCAGGAAAGGTTCCAGGTTTGTTTTTTTTATTTTTTTAATTTTTGATCTTTTGTGGGGGCATTTTGGTGTGTCTATTTTTGTTTCCCCCAAAATTATCCTCTATTTACTTTTGGTGTTTTTATTTTATAATCAGACAAGGGATATTTAAAAATGTGTGGGTACCTATTTGTAGTCTGTTTTGGTCAAATCCCTGTATATTACTTTACCGGTGTCACATCACGACGGGGAGGCAAGCAGCAGATCTTGTTAGCTTAATTTACTATGAATTTGATAACTATTATTTTTCCTTTTCATATTCTTTTTATAAATTTTTTTGTCCAAAAATGACCAATTTTTAAATAGAATATAAACACTTCCCGCTCAAAAATGCTAATTATTTTCGACGAGCCAGTCAAAAACCTTTTCTTTTTAATATTGCAATCGAAAATAATTTTTCCCTTTTTTCTAAATGATTTTTAAGCTATCTTCGTTGAGAAAAATGTGTTGTATTTCATTTTGTGTATTTTGAACTCAACGCTCCCAAAAATTTCATTTTTTTTTCACCCGATTATAAAATGAAAAGAAACAATGTCCTGAGCTATTTCAATTATTCCCTACAATTTTTTGAACCTTTTGCCTCCTTTCTCCCAGCACAAATATAATTCTTAAATTGCAGTCGATCCAAGATATCCTTTCCATTGGCAATCTGATTTTACTCATGTTATTTGTTGTGTAATACCTTGTG